AATACATTGCAAAAATCTGCAGATTTTACTTACAAATGTGTATATATCTATACGTTCATCTGACTCAAACACACAAAATATGGCTGCATACTTGAGCACACAGCTACACATAGAGAGAGAATCGTTTGCTACGCAGAATTAGTATGAACCGCAAACATTCGCTACGTAAATGTTGTGCTCAGATGGAGCACTACACTTGCATAGCGCAGCTAAATCTGTCATTTCAAAATTAGTGTATGATGTAAATAAACCGTCAGACAAGTGACATCTGACGGTCGTTTAGTGACTACTGTAACTATGTGTCAATGGCTACTAGTTTACATATTCCATATTTTGGTGTGTACCATCCGAGACCCTTTTCGGCGAAGACATCCTTAACAAATTACTGGACATTTTTTTTCTCTCGCGAAGAGAATAAGAATTGCTCGCTCATTTTAACGGGAGAATACAACACTTTCTTGCAGATGTTTTAATTACGTAATGACGCGACGCGTCATTTCCTATAAATTTCCCCGTTGAATGGATGCATTTAAAAGGTGAAAGCCACTATTAAAAATCGAAATCGAACAACTTGAACTCACCCGCCATTATTGTCGTCACATGGTATTAAATTCTCACGCGGTGTGGCTGTATGAAGGAAATGCTGAAAGGCGCAGTGAATGTGCTCGTGCATACGATGGCAATGGTTTTGATAATGAATATGTGCATCATTAACTGAGCAATGCAGAATTTTCGGTCGGTCGTGTTTTTTTTTCTGTTTCCTTCGGTTCTCGCTCGAAATATGAAAATTGTGTGTGTTCGTTTCAGCGCAACGATTCAACGAAGGCGGCAGAAGTGAAAGACCCATAAATGTTCATATTTTCATTAGCTTCTGAATAAATATTATGAGAAGTATTTCAAATCTTCTATGGTGGAATGTAAAATAATTGAGCATTAAGCTGTGTGCAAAAAGCACACATGTGTCTTAAATGGCTTACAAAATAACTAAATAAAGTAGAAATAAATAAATAGTTCCATTGCTTTTGCGTCTTCGTCTTTGCTGCTCGCTCGCCATTTCCCACAATGCGCATTGCTCTCTTTCACTTTCACGTGGCTTTCAATTGCTTTGAGGCGTTCACAACACTTTGAATTAATTCGTAACACACAATCTGTCACTTGTTAAGTGCCTTCGCTCAAAGCTCAATGATTCGGTTTACATCAACGAGAATTTCGACATGATGGAAAAAGTTTTGAAGACAAATAGTAAATTGTTCTAAAAAAAAAATGAGGAACATCGTTTCGACTAAGAAAATTCATTGGAATTAAAGGAAGAAAAGTCGGTTTAAATCACATCATGCTGTGTTTGACTTGCAAACTAATAGGATGCAATATAAATCTTTGGCAAAAATAAAAGCAAGTGTGAATCCAAATCAGTCCGTTGGTGTTTTCAATGCGGCACATTAATTGATAGTACTGCAATATGGTTACTGTGTAAGAAACGCACGTTCATAATCAATTCAGGTGGTCTTGGCATTTTCTTTTTCCCGTATGAAATACACAAGAGAATCCTTTTTCACTCACTCACTCCCATTCCGTTCCCTCGTTCGATGTGCTATTTCCAACATTTGGAGCGATGTAAGTCGATGAGAATGAAATAGAATATGACATTTAGTTGGAGCAAAAACGAATATCAATTTTATGCTATTGAGCTCTTGTCTCGAACAATTCCGGAACGTGCCGTCACATTATTTGCCTCATTCTTACTCGCACCGCTTAATTCCCACATTGAGCCACATATGTTTTACAAAACGTTGCGAAAAGTAAAGCCAACGAAAATTAGTGTATGGCGCTCAGCACATAGCGAAGAGAAAAAGAAAATATTTCAATTGCACGAAACAAAGTGCAACCAAGTCTCTCTCCACCTCTTCTGCGACTGTCACTTCAGAAACGATAATGATTTATGATGAAAATTTTTCCCGCACAAGTCTGATTGCTTTTATTCTTACTTTTAACTTCTTACCAACAATCGAACGATATGTACTTTGCAATTTTGATTAAAAAAAATAAATATAATTGAAAACTATAATTTTAATGTCAAACGTTCACATTTGTTTCCACAGAATAGCATGACAAAAAAGTTGCTCAGAATAAAGACCCAAATATTACTTCTTAAAATAAGCAAAAAACACATAAATTCGAATTCGATTGCGATTTGTTTTTCTATAAGTTGATAAATTTCATAAGTCCGGAACTATTGTTTCGCTATGCAACAAAATCTCCCATATTTGGCACTAGCTCATTGAAAAAGAGGTGAAATTTTCAACTAAACAATTAAATGTTTTACAACATGTGAATAGAAAACCACTTAAAGAATCATTGACATTGCGAGAGAAATGACCACACGCAATCGTTTTTTTTTTCTTTCCTTTCTCTCAAATCAAATATTGAAGATTATTATTTTGCACACAAATTTGTTGTTTATTCTTTCTCTACTATTTTTTCTCCAATTTTTTATTCTTCTGCTGTTGTTGTTGGTGTAAATATTACACGGTGTTGGGCAAATGCGGGCTGAATTTCATTTGTCAACATTAATCGCATCATAAAAACTAACCAATTGTTATTGTTCTTTTTTTTAATCTAAAGCCCATAACACGTTTCTTTTGCTAATACCCTTCCATAAGTTGGAGTTCTATACTATACCATTATCGTTCATGTTGCTGTCCATATTAATGGTTTTGTTTCTCTCTTCATTCATTGAATTATTCATTGTTTCAGCTCCTGGGCACGGGAAACCACGCGTGCACATCTATACACGGCACGAACAATATTATATAATTGAAGCGAATGCACATGGGATTTTCACTGATAATATCTATTTTGATGAGTATAACATTTTCTTCTCACTCTTTTTAGCAAAATATATTTTCTTCGGCTGGAACCATGAACCGTTGAAAATTCGGCTATTCGTCGAATCCATCTCCACTAATCAGGAACTTCTTTGGAGATTTGACTTTGAAGCGAAGAAATATCTTGTTGATATAACAATTCATGGTGTTTTGAATGCCGAGTGAACGGTAAATGAAATGATTTATCGATCAGTTACGTCATCGTTTTGCGAAAAATCGGCAAGTAATACGTGCAATACGGACTTGCTTAGCTGAAACACAATGATTCATCGAATTACCTGTTGAAAATCACGTATCACACTCGTTGCACACAACGAACCCACTCTTCAAGCATTGCGAATGAATTGTCAACATCATGTTGCAACAACGATTCGTGGTCAGTCGCAGTTTTTAATTTGAATTTTCCGCATATTCCAAAAAAAATGGGCAAAATTTTGTTTCCGTTATCCTTTTAAGATCAAAAACAAAAATTCTCTGCAAATGCACCAAAAGCAAATTTCTTTAGGTAATCATTTTTGAGTCCAATTTTAATGCATGATGAACAAGCATTCACTTATAAATATATTATTTCAATAATGACGTTGAAAGTTACGTCAGTGCAGCATTTGCATAGTAAAGTGATAAAAGAGGTAATATGCATGTAGTTGGGGAATTCCAAATCAATAACAGAGTACACACACACTTTTCGGTGCAATAGTTTTTTTGTTGACAATGTAATTTAATTGAAGTAAACATATAATTGAAAACGCACTTAAAGATTTCGTCAAAGAGGAAAAAACGCCCACAATCCCGCATCGGTTGCGTTGCGTAAGTGAAAACAAAAGTCCCTCGTATTTTCCAGAACATTCGCGGCATTTTTGACAAGTGTCTTCGTCCGAAAGCAGACAATGCATTTGGCTAATGTCAGCTAGCTAGCTGAAAACATTCTGGCTGGGTCAGCGGCTGAATTCTATGCGTTGCGTTTTTTCACCGCTATCTGTAATTTCGACCATAAGAAATGTAAAATGTTCGCCATTTATTTTCACATTAGTTATGGGGATTTTTGTTTTGTTTATTTTTTTTGTTTATAAAAAAATCTGCCTATCTTTTTGCATTGCTTCTGCACATTTCCTATGGACGTATACTATGCACAATGCACAGTCACAATGCAAAAAGATAGGCAGATTTGTTTACAAACAAAAAATAAACAAAACAAAAATCCCCATATATATGATTTCTGTACTGCAGATGCGATGAAAAAACGTAACGCATAGAATTCAGCCGCTGAGCCAGCCAGAATGTTTTCAGTTAGCTAGCTGACATTAGCCAAATACATTGTCTATCCGAAAGAAGAAAAAAAAGGTTCAAGCAAAGAAAGCGAGAGTGTGTAATGACTGAAGAAAAAAAACTAAATTGTACTCTTGGCCTTCCAATCTCTGAAACCAATAATGAAATAATCAATGTAAAGTTGAAATAAAAAAAAACTCGCTTCATTCATGAACACGCAAAGCGAAATGAAAGCCTCGCGAACCGATTCCAAGTATTCGTATCGAAAATTACAGTGAGATCATATATGCGTCGAGCGATCGACGTTAATTTTCAAGAGAAGCAAAATGGAATATAGAAACCGAGAAGAAAAAAAATCAATCATCATGACGCTATTATTTCTGATTTTTCATCATGACGCTATTATTTCTGATTTTGCATATTGGCTATGATGTGATTTGTTGCACGTATGTGAAATGCGCGCCCGAAACTCAAACGTTGTTAGAGCAGAAAAATTTCACCAACTGTTTATTTCTTACTAGTTACATACGTTGAGCCACTCTTTTATCTCATGTGGTCGTCATCTATCCATCCGCATGTATGTGTTTTGTTGTTGTTGCTTTCAGCCGTTTTTTTTGCATTTCCTATACTCAACATAGTGCTGTTCGAGTTGGGTGTCAATACTTTCAAATACACAGAAAAAACGCAAAATAGCTTTCTTCAGATAACACTTGATGTTGTTTATGTTTTGCTCGTATTTACATGCCATGTGTGTCATTTTTTTCGCTTCTTCTTCAATTTATTCGCAGCGTATACTGAACTCGCAATAAACGATGACGTCTTCATCATCATCATTGCCAGCATAGGCTTGGGGTTTTTTTGAGCACACCGTCAAATTGTAGTTATGTTTGCGTTTGCGTTCCCAGCTCAAGAAAAATACGTACATATATATAAAAACGTAATCGAACGTTCATCATTCAGTCAGTTAAAGTTGAACAGTGAAAAGCTGAAGTTTGGCGTGTACAATATTTTCCTTCCAACCAATTGAACAGCAAGAATTAAAGAAATAATTTTTCTATTGAATATTCTTTATCTGCAAGCAAAAATTTCAAGACGAAAATAGTGATTTGTGTTGAAAAAAATTAAATTAAACTCACGAAAAGAAACAAACCAATTTAATTTTAAAATTAACCGTTAAACAAGCAAGTTTAATTTTGAATGAAAAAAAATGCAAGCGACTAAAGTCAATGTATTGCTTATTGGTGCAACGGTGATTTTTGTATTTGCACTGATCAACGAAATTGATGCAAAACCGTTGGACATTTATGATGAAATTGTTGACAATGACGAAAAACAACTGTTGATCCGCATGGCTGAGCTAATTGAATCGATTGGTGCCGATGATTCGGAGCGTTTTGCAAGCATCAACAACAGTGACAGCAACTCATCATCCGCCAGCAACGAGTTAAAAGACATGAAACCGGGTGAACGTTGTATATTACCAGTGCGAAAAGGTGTTTGCCGGGCATTAATTCCACGCTGGAGCTACGATCCATCGACAAGAGAATGTTCTCAATTCAAATTTGGCGGCTGTGATGGTAACGGCAACAATTTCTCCACACGAAAACAGTGCATGGACATGTGCCGAGGCATTTAAATCAATTTTTACATTACACTGCGTCAGATCAGCTCAGTTATGGAAACGACAACGGAACCAGTGGACTTTCTGATTTTTTGTCCAACACAAACAAATCTTGACCAAATATATTTATTCTACGTTAGTTTAATCATGTTATGAAAAAAGAAAGAATTCGCAACAGCAACTGTTGATATGTACATCTATTTATTTTTTGTTTTATAATAAAAAAAAATTTGAAGAAAAATAAATCTTGTTCGCCTTTTGTTTTCGAATACCAACCATTTTATTGCAAACCAGAATCAGGAATGTGAATGTAAGCAACTCGTTTTGGATTCAATTTCAGTCAATTTTATTTTAATGGGGCTAGTGCCTGGCGCACTGGGAACGAAGTTCCGTGTGAAAATATGCCGTCACACGTATCATTCCATGTGATGGAACTCAGAGAGTAGAATGTATAAAGTGAACATGACAAGTTTTTGCTTTTATCGGAGGTAAAAATTAGTTTTATTTATCAATGTCATTTGAAACATAATTTTATATTGATTCAATTTCATTCGTGTTTTCTTGTTAGTTAGTTGGAGAACATATCAAATTTATTGTTGAAGCGCAATGTTTTTTCTTGTTTACACATTTTCACTTAATGCTAACCATCATTCTATACAATTTATGCATTTAAACATAAATTTAATGCAACCACAATGATAAGCTGGTTGTCTCTTGCTCTCTGTTTAAGAGTTGCGATTTTTCAGCAGGAGAATAATTCTGTTGTCAATCTGATGATTATTGATGAATATATGTTTGAAGGTATATTAAATGCGCTTTCCAATTATTTTGGTTCTCGAATCGATAACTTATATTTCTTCTTAGTCCTATGCTGAAACGAAAAACGAACACATTTTAAATTCATTATTAACATTTCAACCAAGTTTTGAATTCATTATTACCTTTTCTTCTTCTCTTATTTTATTTAAATATTCACGTGACCAAATTCTCCATGGTTCTTCTGGTTTAGATTCTTTTAAATTAAGAGATCTGAATTGCTGTTCAATTCCATTCAAATTGCTACCCGAATTAGACGATGTTGAATTATTCTCAGACATTCTTAATGCTTCTTCTTGAGTTCGATTATTATTTCACAAAATGAATTTGAGCTAGATGTTTTATAAAAAAAAGACGTGTATACAATACCAAAATGTCAAAATAAGTGTTGTCGTATGCAGCTTGTCATATCCGATAGTCTAACTCGAGTTTCGACAATCCACTCAAGGTGGTGAAATACACACTCAATATTATAGCGACATCTATTATTAAAATGGCTTGTAGTAAATGCATCTATAGCATTTCCCTGTAGTCGCGATGTTTCCTATTAAATTCCCTTGTAGTACTGACACATTCATGTTTGACACTTGTTAACTACATACCACAGGGGAATTTAATAGGTAACATCGCAACTACAGTGAAATGCTATGAATGTGTTTACTACAAGCTATTTTAATAATAGATGTCGCTATAATATTGAGTGTGTACAAAAGATCTCATTAGAAATTATTAGATCCGTTATAAATTCATTTTCAATCTCTTTTGTTTTTCCAGATAGGAGAATTCATCTAATCAAAACAAAACAATCATTCATCGGTAGTGAAAACGTCAACAAAACAAAAATCAAATATTTGTTAAAGTTGAATTTCTTTGGTTGAAAAATAAAACTAAAAACAAAAACAAACTAGAAAATTTCGCATTATGGGAACTCCCAAAACCCACTATAGTGTTTTCCCCTAGGGGAATTTAACTCTTACGAGTTCAGCATGTTTTCTGCCAGTTTGCTTGATTCGCGGAAGTTCGACGCGTTCGTTGTACGTACTAACGCGCACGGTCACAAGTTTACACAAGTTTGTTTATGATTTTGCGCGTTTTTCAAGTTGTTATTTGACAACTAAAACGCGTTTCAAACTAAAAATTGGTTGTTTACGTGTATAAAGATTTTTCACATCCTTTCCAAAAGTTCAAAGATTTATATAATTATAAAATGGACAAAGGAAATATTTTTAAAGAGCTGGAGAAAGTATTGGAAAAGTTAATCCAGATATAATAAATGGAACGACTGATGTGTGCGCGTCGTCCAGCTTCAAGTTTGCACACGAACTCGCGCGCGTTCGCGCATGTTGTTTTAATACGGAACTTGTCAACTGAGTGGAATCATGCAAGTTCTCTGGTGAATGTAACAATTTCGTGCGCGTTTATATCATTTTTTTACAAGTTTTCACGTAGTTAAATCCCCCTAGGTTTTCCCACTACTACTCTCTCGCCTTGTCAGAAACTTTGCCAGCACCTCCTTGAATAGGTGAGCATTTTATGATGGAAGGAAATAAAAACGAGTCGTCCGATTTATTTTGTTTCGAAAAATAATATTATTTTCATTTATGTAACAGTTACAATTGTATAACTCTAGAGAAAAAAATTCTGTGAAATGAAATAAAGACAAAAAAAATTAGTTGACTAATAACTAAATTCGACGTATATCTCTCTGGCAACGCACAAATGTCGCTTGCCTATTTCATTTTCTTTCTCTTTTTTTTTTTAAACATGAACAATGTTCCATAGATTGAATCGAAATAAATATATCTTGCGGTTATTATCAAACGTGCTAGGATTACTTTAATAAATGTTAAAATTTGTCTCAAAATATTTTCATGGTGTGACAAAATTGCGGGAAGAATTAGATTTTTAGGATACAACAAAAAGATGAAAAGAAAAGAGACAGTCAAAAAAGAAGAAACAAATATATTGATACATAAAAGAAATAATTAATAAATAAAGTGATGAAGTCGTTGCATTTTGGTCGCAATGTAAATAATAAATATAATACACTATAAATATATATAGATTTTTTGTTTTTCTCTTGCATTTTTTGTTGTGGTTTTTTCCTTTCTTTTGTTTTGGGTAAATTAAACCTTTCATTTCGATTTTAGGGGATTTGTTCACATGTTTGTATCAAACATCACTTGTCTGTGTCATTTTTTTATTACTATTATTATTATTGTTCAACTTGTCCGCAATAGTTTCGACTATACATAGACCTAGATATAAATTGGTTGCGTTGGCGCATGAATATTGCTTAGCAATTGATTTCGCTAGTTAGACCTTTCATAATTTCCGAATTAAAATGCAATGATCCATATTTGGTAACCAATGACCATACGTAGGGTATGAAGAACTCTTCGGGTGCATCTTCTTCAACGTAGCGAAATTTCAAATCGGGAAATTTACGCAATCGATCGCTCGACCATTGGCTTGCACCTTTGGAAATCACTTCGAGGACTTCACCCACACCAAGTTCACCGCGTTGATCTTGTACTCGCTGCAATCGCGACGAGAAAAATCCAACAACCTGTTTGATTAAAACCATGAAAATAGGTGATTAGTTTTCAAATGCAACCCATTGAAAATCAAAAAAAAAAATTATTGCGGACAAATATTGAATTACCATGTCAATATTTTGAATGATATCTTGAAATGCCGGATTACTTCGGAACGACTCAAATACTTGACGTTTATAGAGCAATGTGTAGACAAGATTCGGACAATAAACCAACTGATGCGATATACATGAATTGATGATTTCTAAAACCATTCGCAATACTTCTTCTAGCACCGATAAATCTTCCAACACCATCGAACGTACGGTTGCATCGACTGGAATAACGGTAGATGCCGTACTGCTGCTGCTGCTGCCAGCACCAACGCCACTACTGTCACCATTCATATCCGAATAAAGTCGTGCATGCTTCTTTGCCAACGTTTCGAATAAACTTACCAATCGCTGTGCAGTGTATGGGTGCAATTGCCTAAATTGTCCGGACATATTTGCTAACGCCGCCAAGCAATTGGTATGCAAGTATTTGTCACGCATTTTTAACATATTGTATTGAATGGTGCGGATTACAACTAAAATTAAAAGGCCACCAAGTGATATTTCAGAAATTGTGCGTTCGGTGTACCAGTGAATGTTTTTCAATGTCTGCAATAAATACAAAAGAAGAAATATTCTAAACTTTTTTACAAGTACTTTTGACGTAAAAAGATTCGCTTACAATTTGGTGAACGCTCTTATTGAAGCCATCATCTTCGCTCAGTATCAGCAGAACAATCAACGTCATGTAGATGTGATGAGACGTACTATCGGGTGCATTGTAAAGTGTTTGTAAAATAGGTATGACCATTTGCTGTAGATTTTCTTGTGCCATCGCAAATTGATAGAACTGTTGATTACGATGCAGCAATAGATACAACAGAAGGGTTGCCTGATCGATGGTTACAATTTTACACAATGTATTGAACAGAGCCGTAAAGTCAATTTTAAATGTGTGCCCATCCTTTGGTGAATCTATTGAAAATTTTCGCAATAAAACCAACTGAATCAATTGAACCATTGTGACAAACAAATTCCCTCAGAATATTTTAGTTTCAAAGTGCAACATGAAATTTTTTTTTTATATTGAGTTTACAACAACAACTCCATATGAAAAAAAAAAAACTTTATGTTGCACTTTAATACTAAAATATTCTGAGGGAATTTGTTTGTCGCAATGGTTCAATTGTTTGTACTATTTTAAGACTTGTCAATCAAAAGAATTGATATTATGATACGTTTTTGTTGATTCTTCAAAAGAAATTTTTGATTGTTTATCATCTATTGAAGATTAATCGTTGCGTTTACCTTTTGAATCACAGCATCCGAATAGACTTTGGCGATATTTATTATTTTTTGACGTTGCTGTACAGTGATTGGTGAGAATAAGTATGAGTAATAGACTTTGATTGGCCAGTGGATAGTGTTCTTTGAATGCCATTGGTAAATCGTTTGAACTGAGAAAATCCTGATGCGTCTTTCGGAACGTGAAAATCGACAATAGAGATTCGGCGATGCCAAATACAAGTGAACCGCCTGAATTGATGCCGAACATTGTCGGTGGCTCCTCAACCATTCGACTAACGAAATGCAATAGTGCACTCATCAAAGTGTTTGCATTTGGATTATTATAAACCGTTCTGAATAGAGAATAGAGAATACAATTCAATCAATTGGATGCTAGCCTAATAATGGCTAAATTGGATGAAAATAAAACAGAACAATTGTATTTTTACCTGAAAATAATCGATTTTTCGGTTGGTTGTTGTGAAAATAGATGCACCGACAGTAGAACAATCAAAAGATTCACCGCTTCCAGGTGCAAATGGTAGGTGAACTCTCTGTAAATGTGACAGAAATAAACAAAAGCAATGAGTACGAAAATATTAGAATTAAATCAGCTAAATGAGAGATTCAGCACATACTTCACCGGAATGATGATCAATAAATTGACAACGGCCTCGAAAAATGTTTCAAATTTTGAACCATCAACCGTTCGCACCGGTTTGGTTTTGTTCTCAGTGTCAATGTCAATGGCTGCCGTTCCGTTAGACGTTTCCGCAACAATTTCGGTGGCGGTGCTGGGCATCGCTTCAAAATGCTGCAACAGTTGATATTCCGAACCCGTTTCAATTAAATACTTTACCGTACACCGAATGATGAACAGAGCGTTGAACGTTTGCCAAATGTGCATACTACTGCGAATTAAACACAGAGCGAAAAACAAACAGAACATAAGCGTAACAAAAGCGTGAAAATTGAACAGAGGAAAAAAAAAGTCAAATTTAAATGGGCTTGTAAGTTGATAGAAAAATCGAATTTGTATGAAAATTTTATATCGGAATTACGTGGCACAAACCTGTCTTTGTCCGATAGCTCCAGTAATTCGCTAACTTTATTCAAAAATATGGTGATCAGCGATCCAAAGTTACCTGTCGCCAAATTATGACTGATAAACTGTTGACACATCGTTTCCAATCGGGAGTCCAGGCTAAGCTGTTCCTCACTAAAAGACACACGTCAGTATTTTAGAATCGTATGAACCTAACCAAAATCTACAAAAGCCGTACCTGTTCGTTGGCAGCGCGATTTGATACTGTAAAAATGAGTTCCAGAACTCATTGTTGGTGGCTGGGATGTGATTTTTTCCAACAAATTGATTTAAATACGTATTTTCCGAGAGATCCGTTTGTCGCGAAATATTTATACCCATTTTGGTTGGTTTGATATTTTGTTGTTGCTATTTCCTTTTCTTTCAAATCAGTCTTCTGGTATTTGTTGAAAAGTTGTCTTCAGGTGGTGGAATGAATGAAGGAAGAAATGTAAACAAATGAGTGAGTGTTGTTATCACGTCATCGACGGCAAAAAAACGTGTGTGTCAAATTAAAGCGCAAAACTAATAACTTGGTCTTTGGCCAGAAATCAGATTAATCCAATTTAAACACAATTGGCTGACTATTCACTCACTCTCTCTTTCTCTTGAATTCGACAGTTGTTATTTTCCAACTTTTTCGTTGCTTTTTAGCTGATCTAAATTTATTGTCGCACAGCAAACAAAACCGTATGTGTCGACAATTATTTGACTTGGATTTTGAAATACACAGAAGGGGAAAGATACTCAAGCGATATAGAATGGGACAACTTCGAAAACGAGAGAGAAGAAAACAGATGCGTTTGATTATGCCAACCGTACAAAAAACACTCGTGTATTAGCCGACAGACATTCAGGCAATTGGAAATTGCCAAATAAACCGATACAGAAATGGAAATAACATATATTTACGAACGAATCAATGCTTTTATTTCGCTTTTTCTTGGTGTCTTTTTTTGGATTTTTTTTATCATTGGAAACGTCAGATTGTTGTGATTTAATTCTCATTTTTGTTCAAACTTAAATGACACATACACATTTGGGATAAACTATTTGACTCAGCTTTCCAACGACGATGACAATGACGACGACGACAGCGACTAATCACGCGAAAACTTTAGCACATTGATGATTTTATATATACAAAAAAAAAGTTGCATCAACAAGCATTTAATATTGCTAGCATGATCACCGACTGCTTACTATGTTATTCTCAGTCCGTTCTTTCGTTCTACTTTTTTGTATATGTGTACATCGAATGACATTAACCTCAACTCAACGATGACGTTTACCAGCGTGAAGTTAGCTCTCGCTGCTAATTGTCACACTTTTTGTATAAACATGTCAATGATGGTAGAGTGGTTTTATTTGAATTTATTGAAACGGTATTTATAAACCACTCATCATTTTTCACATATTTATTTCAATGTTAATCGATATGCATGCATTTTTGAGTTTAGAATAGTTTTTTTCAGTTTATTTCATTTGAACATACGAATAAAGTTGCCAACTAACTTTCATGCTTGTACATTCGCACAATAAGATTTGAAATCAGAGGCTTTGCGTTTTCGGTACATTTCTCGTATATACAAGATTGTTCAATAAATTGAACAATGCACCAAATCTGTTCTCATATCTATTATATAGTTTCTAAATCACCCGGTTTTTCGTCATAAACTAATTAGAAAGTATGGAAATTTTGATTATTTTGCCTTATTTTATGAAAATCTCGATTATCCGTCTTTTTCGATTATTATAATGTCGTGCATGGCATCTAAGGTTGATCACATACAACAAATCTTGATATACCATTATCGACTGCAATAGTGCTGTTATATTGCTGTAAGTTAAATGTCAAATAAGCAATATTGTTTTGTGTGTGGCTTACGAAAATATTTCAGAACGTACATTACTACGTCGTACACAAGCAGTTTGAAAAACTAAATAACAAAATTATCAGCAGCAACAACCGTTTTACGAAGAGTAAAAAGTGACAGTAATATTACATTTTTTCATCCGGAAGTATTGTTTGTGTGTATTCTTTTGATACTTTTCAGTTTGAAGAGTATACATACATAGTGACCATTCGTTTTTGTTTTCAATAAAGTGAAATCATATAAATTTTATCGATTATTCCAGAATACTCAACGTCTTTATTCATTCGGTCGATTAATATGCCTCGTTGTGAACTTCCATATGTGTATAAGCCTGTTTGTGGCACAGATGGTGTAAAATATGTAAATATTGTGGATCCGGAATGCACTCAAAAAAAAAAGAATATGGGAAACTTGTGAACTTACAACTGAAACATAAGGGCGCTTGCTGGATATGGAAAAAATACGGATTCGAAACACACACACAGTTCTTTTTGTGAGTAAGCTTCGAACTGATTCAATTTCGATGAAAGACCCAAGGGGATTTATCTCTCGCGAATGCTGCGAATGCATTCGCATTTCAGAACAAAAATTCGAATGTTTGCGAATGCGACGAATGCGGCCATGACAGCGAACTTGTGACTACATAATTCACTCGTTCATTCGTGTTTGGGCATGCATTCGCAACGCTGCCGTATGATTTCTATGTGAACATTCGCACTCGCATTCGTGAGAACGGTCGAGAACAGCGAAATACGACTGCTATAACGAATGCGAGTGCGAATGTTCACATAGAAATCATATGGCAGCGCTGCGAATGCATAGCACTGAGCGCGAATTTGTGAATAAAAATTCGAATGCCAAACCGACATAGAAGCCCCTAGTGAAAGACTATTGTCTTTTTGCTTAAATTTCATTGTAGATATCATTGATTTTCCTTTTCCTTCTTGGCATGTGCTTGTGCATTTGTCGAGTCAAGAAAGCAATGTGGAAGATGAACAAACGGTCGGGCATTATACCAGCATAAATTGGATGAGAATGTATCGATTGAAAAATCAGCTCAATATCAAATCAAAACACACATGCCAAGAAATTTCGATATAAAAAAGAAATTATTTATTTTTAACCCTCTAGTGCATACGTGAACTTATAAGGTTGGTTCATTTAAATATTTCTATAATGCGAATCATTGATTATGTCACAAAATAATGTATGACAGTTTTCGTTGGAGAACACTAGCGCACATTTCTTTCTCATAAAAATTTTGTGTGCGGTCAACCAGTGTCAAGTTATGACAACATTTGTACAGGAAAACGACGTTTCCGTAAAAATAAATTATTTTCGTTTCGTGTCCTGTTTTTGAAATGTGATTAAATCGAATAAAATTATTTTGTTGACCTCAGGAATTTTTTTTCTGCTTATTTGGAGTGTTTTTAACCAAATTCAATTCAAGTTCAATGATTTTTTTACAATTGTGCAACATTTGTCCGTCAATTTGCATACTGTTCTTATAAGTACAGCCATGCAATTTGGATTTCTTTTTGTTTGATATTTTGTGTGCTTGGTTTAGTGTGGAATTTTATTTTCATTTAATTTTAACCTATTTTTTTCACAAATAATCCAGAAAAAATGATATTCACGAATTCCGATGTCAACATCACTCAATTTGCAAGCTGTTCTTATAAGTACAGCTATGCAAATTCGGTTTGTTCATATACTTCGCAATTTCCATATTGGTCGTAAATGCATGACTGTACTTATAAGACCATTTTGATTTTTGCGATTTATTGATAATTCCAGCATTATACCAGATTATGAATATTTTTTTAAGTGCTTATGAGGTAAAATAAGCATGGAAAAAAATTCCCAGCTCTGTATAAAATATATGCATTAGAGGGTTAATTAAACGGTCAGACCTGAGGGAATATCACGCTTAAATTATTCCAAATATTTCAAAAAAATCCAATTTATCTCTAAGAATCTGTCGTATGAAATATGGTGGATATTTGTGAATACGGCGGAGTATTGTGAATTTTTGTGATTATGAATGATATTTAAATGTATTTATTCGAATTTAATGCAAAAAATCTCAAATATCTCCAAAATCCACAAAAACCTGATTTATTTATTCGAAATATTCGAAAATATGTCATACAATTGATGTTTATTTCAAATATCTCAAATATCTCACAAGATTCAGGAGCGTGATATTCCCCCAGGGTCAGACACACAAATCTTGATTAGATTTCGAATATATTTTAAAAGCAGATATGGAGAAAAGACTCTGTCATTGTCGTCATCACTCTTTTACACATACTCCACAAGGGAAAAACACATTTTCCATGGGCAAACTATTTTATGTACTCCTCAATGAAGCAGCGGACTTGTCGGCATACTCGTGGATTTAGCATTTCACTTGCTTTGGCGATTCGTGAGTTGCTGAAGCATCATATATGCAGTGCACTCGATATTTAACGTGAAAACCTATATTCGATACATCGAAGTTGGCCGAGGTATGATTTCGTTTGCGCGTAGCGCATAAGCAATTCACTTGCGATATAACGTGAACCTCTATATACTATATATCGCAAGTGAATTGCTTACGCGCTACGCGCAAACGAAATCATACCTCGGCCAACTTCGATGTATCGAATATAGGTTTTCACGTTAAATATCGAGTGCACTGCATATATGATGCTTCGGCAACTCACGAATCGCCAAAGCAAGTGAAATGCTGAATCCACGAGTATGCCGACAAGTCCGTTGCTTCATTGAGTCTTTTAAGAATTTAGAACCCCAAACCATTTACAACCAAATTTCAGTAAATATACGAAAACACTTGGCTCATCTGGCTTGCATTCATCACCAAAGCTCATGACTCCGAGTAAAAGTGTTTCTCTGCTCGTTGTTAGGGTTAACGGTCCCCCAGAATCGCTTACACAAACTGCAAAAAAAGTAAAAATTAGTATTTTCAAACGGTGATATTTGAGTTTATAAAAATAAACGTCGAATAAAGATTCAATAATTACTTGTTGAGTGGACGTCGGTATCTATCGCGCAAAGCAAATTAGATGTTAAATAATATCCAAATTCTCGGCATTCTTCTAGAGTCAAAGTTGATAGTTGGGTGTGCAAGAGTATTTCACTTATTTCACACGTGTAACATGTTTTTCCATACCCGGAGGCGTCAACAACAAGATGACTGTAATGTGGAAATCCCTTATCTACCATTTGGATTGGTTTAATTAGTTCCGTAAAATCAATTTCTGTGCTTAGCTCTAATAGAGCCAGGGCCTGTCCCAGATAGGGCGCAAGTGGTGCGCTGCACCACGGCGCTGAGGCGCCGAGGGCGCGCGAGCACTGAAATTTGTGAAAAATGCCAGGAAAATTGGAGCGCTTGAGCGCCGAAGGCGCTCAATTGCTTAAATTTTCCAAAAATACGTAGAAAAATTCAGGCGTCGAGAGCGCCGAAAGCATCAAAAGTATTTGATCAGCTTATATATATATTGAAGTGCCACTTGTATTTAAAGCGCCTTTTTCCAATTTAAAAATATTAAACAATAAGATTTCAGTATTTATTCCAGAGATGGAGTATATGTATATCAATTCGTTGTATTTACTGTACTCGGTACAGAACGGTATATATACATTGAAAACCTTTGCGTTAAACAACGCGTCCGCTGGCACTGAAGCGTTAGCGTTTATGTGTATGTATAGCTGTGTGCGTGAAGAACTTAACGCATTTATTGTTCAAAGACGTACACGCAATGCAAAGGTATGCGTTAGAGTATATACTGATACACATTCCCATGTACGCGCGGTATACGATGAACCATCTCTGATTTATTCAACCGACTACAAAATATATTCAATTATTTTGAGCATCCTTTTCCATGTAATAATTCTCAAGTCAGTAAACATGTGTATTCAAGCGCTACATTTTTGAAATGACAAAAAAATTTAAGCTCTCGCGCCTTCGCCGATCGCAGCAATGTATAATGTTTTCAATAAATCTAAAATGCAAATTTTCAGTATTACATAAGGCAATTAGATATCTTGCTAATTTCGTTGGATTTTTTTTCGTGCCTTTCATATATACACGAAACAGTGTATTGTACACCATGACGTTCATAATATGAACGATACACACAATAGCGTACAGAACTTTTCTAACAAGGAAGTTAATCGTTTTGAGACAATTTTGAGTCTATTTCATTTCATCCTAAGAAAAGGGCGCCCTGGCAATTTTGCACCAGGGCGCAAAGAGCGCACGGACAGGCTCTGAATAGAGCTAAGTCATTTCTGAGTGGTTCTTTTGTTTAATTGGGATGTATGGTTATATTTTTGATTCGATAAATAACACCCCACCAGGTGCTATCGGAATTTCCGGCCCAGACAACATAATCTTTATCATCATCTACACATGATTGTGTATACACAATGGGCGGCCGTCAAAACGTAATTTTTATTAATTATGATGCCGTCGCACTTATGGTTAGCCCAAAAAAATGGCACATAGTCTGTATTTATTGACACTTGGTAAGGTCGCTCTTTAACAGAGCATTGAAGCGGCTGGGAATGTAGCGCTGCTGGTGAACAGATCTGTTCAACAGCAGCTGTTGGTTGCGTGCATATTCGCTGTGACGCGCGTTTATTCATCTAATGATTCTCACACAGTGTTTGTCTCTTGCATTCACACGGAAACAGAAAGAGAAGCATATGCAAGACACGAGGTACATCGTAAGCGACGCGCGCGTACACCCACATAACTGTCGTTCGTGTTTCGTGTGTTTTATTATCTTCTCTTTCTATTTCTGTGTGAATGCAATAGAAAAACACTGTGTGAGAATCGTAAAGTGAAAGACCGCGCGTCACAGCGAATATGCACGCAACCAACAGCTGATGTTAAACGAATCTGTTCACCAGCAGCGCTACATAGCCAGCCACTTCAATGCTCTGCTCTTTAATACTTATTTCTTTTCCGTTAACAACAGTAACATTTAAGTCACAGTTGACACTGAGAATTAGCACAAATATGACAATAATTTTCAACATTGTAAAATTAACTGAACACTAAACTCACAATACTAAGTATATTGAAAATTAAACTGATCAGCATCAGAAACATGTTTAAATAGGCTAATAAAACACATTAACTTTGTGGTGGGGTAAATTTATTTCGGCATTGATTAAATTTCGAGTATTTTAAACTTTTTGCCCTCAAATTGGAATCAGTTGACTTTTGTATTTTTTTGTTTAAATGTTGTACTTCACATTTTATTCAATAATTGAAAATGTATCATTTCAATTTTGTTACAGTTTGTGGTGGTAATTCCGGAAACGGTTTAGTATTTGTGAATGCAGCAAATGAAGCTTCTCTAATCGGAGTATAGGACAAGTACATTGTATAGGAACTAGGCCGTCGACTTACGCGTCTGTACCAGCGTACCGCGAATGGATCAAATCAGTTGTTGGATTTTAACCATTAACTTCCATATACAGTATGTGTTTTATAGTCGCGTGCTGTACTTTTTTTATTCAATTGAAAGCTAAAGAATGTAAGCTGGTCAAAAAGCTATGAAAATTTAACATGTGTACACGTTTTTAAATAAAAGCAACAAAATTCGATACAATGATATATTGAATAAAGAAATTGAAATTGACAAAGAACAAATTGAAATCTGGGATGAAAATAATTTAAATTGAAATATTTTCCAATAGTAATACTTATTTTAAAAAAACAGCGTGAGTATCTTTGTCAATAATTCCTTTTACATTCTTTCTTCAACTTAGCTTGGAGTTTTTCCCTTGCCTTTTGCCATAGTGTAAATATGGTTTCCGGTTTGGGATAGTAAGGTTGTGAGTCTCACCAAGGCCGTTGGTATGTCTTATGATGGGATGGGGATTATATAATAATCATCGAGCCAATTGCCAGCGATTCAACGTTGTTTTAAGCCTCATACAGTTGATTGTTGCTTCTTTGGGAAAAATAGATTGATCATCAAAATAAATAAACAACAAACAAAATAAACAATAGTGAATTTTTAAAACAGCAAAATAAATTCTGAACCTTCCATTGTTAAAGATACGAGCAGAAAAAAAACCAAAGAATATACCTGCAGTTGTTGTTGATACTGCATTTGTTGTGTTGAGTTCATCCTTTGATTTTGTAAATTATACATTTGTTGCTGTGCTGCTGCTAAACTTTAAATTGCATTTGTTGTGTCAAATGCATCATTTGGTTTTGTGAATTCGATGCATATATGATTATTTTGGATGGCTATTCAATGGTATTTATGGTTTTTTACAGGAGATAGACGATATTTTACAATTCTACATGACGCAAAATTTTTAAGCCTATCCCATTTTTTTTCGAAAATCGAAGCCAGTCTAAGGTAGATGATTATGCCATAGCTGTTAAAAATAGTCCTTCCTTTCTCCAAATATTGCGTATGGCGGGATAAAATTTACACCAGCACACACCAAAAATAATCAAACCCAGTGTGATCTGAAAAATCAACAAAATAGCAGAACATTTTATATCTATTGAAATTGAAACAGTTTAAATTTGACTTACAAGAATAAAAGATGTTGTTCCGATACCATATTTTTCCCATATAAAACAACTCCAGTGATGTACGAGATGTAAATCTACACTCGTCACATTATTCTTCTCTTTTTAACACTCAATCTTATTCTCAAGCCTATATTTATTTGAATAAGTTTTTCCATCGCTACCACAAACTCGATCAAGGCTCATAGGTACGAGTTCTTTACACTTTGCTCTTACAGTTGACAAGATTGCAATGACCACAACGTGTAGCGCATGACACTTATTTGGGCTATTGTTTATTGTGGTTTTTGTTTACAAAACATATTCGCAATTTTAGAATATCAAAGATTCAACAACAAATCAAGCGATTGAACGAATATCAAAACACTGGTAACACAATGAATAGAATCATTCGCATCACTTTTGTGGTCATTGCAATCTTGTCAACTGTAAGAGCAAAGTGTAAAGAACTCGTACCTATGAGCCTTGATCGAGTTTGTGGTAGCGATGGAAAAACTTATTCAAATAAATATAGGCTTGAGAAAAATATTGAGTGTTTAAAAGAGGAGAATAATGTGACGAGTGTAGATTTACATCTCGTACATCACTGGAGTTGTTTTATATGGGAAAAATATGGTATCGGAACAACATCTTTTATTCTTGTAAGTCAAATTTAAACTGTTTCAATTTCAATAGATATAAAATGTTCTGCTATTTTGTTGATTTTTCAGATCACACTGGGTTTGATTATTTTTGGTGTGTGCTGGTGTAAATTTTATCCCGCCATACGCAATATTTGGAGAAAGGAAGAACTTTTTTTTAACAGCTATGGCATAATCATCTACCTTAGACTGGCTTCGATTTTCGAAAAAAAATGGGATAGGCTTAAAAATTTTGCGTCATGTAGAATTGTAAAATATCGTCTATCTCCTGTAAAAAACCATAAATACCATTGAATAGCCACCCAAAATAATCATATATGCATTGAATTCACAAAACCAAATGATGCATTTGCATCCCACATTTATTGGGGTAGTAGTAAATGAGTGCTTTTTTGGATTGAACTGTTTGGAATTAAAATGACCGCAAAGTTCGTTGATATTAAATATGCAACAAAAAGTTATATTTTACGCATTTATTATCAAAAAAGTTTGAAGTCTTTTCAAATGTTAACTACCACGATACATTTTCATAGGAGGTTAGGCGTAAAAACAACACCCTTCAATTTTCAGAATGATCGGACTTCTTAAGAAAATGCAGCTAAAATTCGAAAAGTACTCATTTGCTACCATCCTAATATTTATGCACATAAATTGTGTACACGCGCGAAGTATTCGATCTGATTGAGCAAGCCTCGATTTCATGTATTACTTTACATTAAAGCCGTCAAATGACTGCTGCTATCGACATCTCACTGCGACAACGTTAACTACAGTATACACCGTGCACTTCTTCTTCTTCTTTTTCTTAACTTATGCCACTTTTTTCTGTTGTGAGTATGAAGCTTACGTTGTCGCAGTGAGATGTCGCTTCAGCACCATATGGAAAAAGGAATCAAGACTCGTGATTGAGCGATTCTTATCTGCGCATGCAAATAGCAAAATATGCATTATACAATGTAACTGCATTTATAATGTAATAATTATCAAGAATATTGTATCAAATAATTTTTTTTCGTAGCCCCGTGGCGAAAGCAAACATAAAACCGGTGATATGCATTTTACGACGTCATTTCGGAACGATTGAAATTTATAATAATAGCCTGAATTGATGCCAAACATTGTTGGTGCACTTATCAGAGTGTTCGCATTTGGATTATTATAAACCGTTCTGAATTAAGATTAAGAATAGAGAATACCATTCATTCAATTAGCCACTAGCATAATAATGACTAAATTGGATGACTCTCATAAGAAGAAAAATTGTATTTTTACCTAAAAACAGTCGATTTTTTATATGGTTGTGGTGAAAATAGAATTCAGTGAACAAAATTTCATGCCAGAACATAAATAAAGTTATCGTAATTTTCTTGTAGAAATAATTCATCGGTGTTTTCATCCATATTATAGGAAACTGTTGCTGATTTCGTCATATGCATATGGGCTAAGTTATTATGGGGATATGTTCTAATATCAAAGTTATCCAATGCGGCAGTGTAATGCGTTGCCATACTCCCATGATCGTCCATGAAGTCAATATTCACTGCATTTTTGATTTTGGGTTAGTTTTAGATGCGAAACTCAATCGATCTCCAGAGATTTTATTGCACAAGAGGATAAATGGTAGAAAAACGGCAATTGTTTAAATTTTTCAAATGAATTTTATTAAAAACTATTTTAGCTTATCAACGGATTTGTACCGTCACGGACATCAATCAAAGGATACTACTAATTTCCCAGTTTCAACATGAATTATTTTCTCCTCTTTCGTATCGTATTTGATGTTGTTGCAGTTGTAAATTTTAATCCTAATTCAATTTTTCATTTATGAGATAAAATGTACATGATTTTATTTCGTTTTTTCTGACTCTCGACGAAATGTAATCCATCGTGTGACTCATGTGTAATGAGCTTCAATGGCATTTCGAATCGTACATTTGAGCCATAATGTTTAATCTCATTCTTGTCGTTGTAAAAATTGTTTTTTTTTTCCGCTGCGTATGTGTATTTGACAAGACATGAAATCTGACGAAAATAAAACTACTCTAGTTTGAGTGTATTTCGTTTTGGCCATTATAAAATGTTCAACTCATTTTGTCACTCTAGTGATCATCTATGATTTTCTTATTTAGTTGAATTTCATTTAACGTTTTGTGAAAGACGTGAAAGTTTTCCGAATGGTTTACCATTTCGATGACGGAAATATGTACTCTGTTGTTGTTGTTGTTGTTGTTGTTGTTGTTGTTGTTGTTGTTTTTGTTTAAGTGAATGAAATGTTCTTAAAACTGATTATGTACAGTAAATTTTGTCCTACGTCTCTCCAGAAAAGAGGAAGAAAAAAATAAACTAATTCAATGGAAACACGAATTGAAGCACTTCCTTTAACTGGGTTGATTTTTTTATGTTATTGTTATGGTTGTCTTCAACGGATGATTTGTTCATAGTTTCATGTCACTTTCAATTGCATTCCTGCAATTCTCCTTCAACATTTTGCTGTTGAGCTGCTGCCGCTTTCACCACCATGCATGAACGAGCTACCGATTCAAATAACCTGTTTGGATTCAAAAGAAATTTTCGTTAATTAATTTAGGGATTTTTTTTTCTCAAAAAACAAACATATTTGGAAAACCAAACAAATTTCAATTTTATGCGGATTTTCTCTTTGATTATTTAGTACTAAGATGAATTTTATGAACATACTTTTCAATTTCAGGTGCACAATGCACAAAGTCATGATCCCAAAACTTGTAAATAGGATTCTTGATGAGTTCGATGAATGTGATCAACAGGCCCCACGGATGTGGACGATTAACGATCAAACGCTCCAACAGAACACGTGTAATTTGCTCCTGTTAATAGATCAAAATATTATCATCATTATTGGAATACACATTTTAATGAAGGAACAAGTGATGCAATTTAGAATTCAATAGAAAAAAGTTTGTGCCAATTTCAAGCGTACCTGAATTGCTTCGGAATTTGCTTCAACAAACAAATAAAGCAATGTACAGCTGAAATAGTGTGTATGGCTGTTGGGATAGCGCAATTGATTGGCGACGGCATTCAAGAACAGATAGCGTCCCTCATGATCCAAATCAACAATAAGATTTTGGAAAATATCCATGTGCGAACAGTGAACGATGGTTGTCATGTTTGGTACGAGATTCTTCGATCTGAAAATTGAATGGTAAATTTTGGTTATTTTCGTAAAAGAGTCATGATAGAGTAAAAACGACAAAAATATACAAAAACACGATAAAAATTAAGATTGTTTTTTCTTTCAAACTTACCGAATGTGAGCGATGGCTTGCGTTCCAACATACAGTACCAATGCGTTCATCAATGGGACATTGTACTTTGAGCCGGCTGTGTTCGATATTTGCAAGTGGCTACGAAGTTCGGACAAGAATGTGACCGGTGCACGTGCTTTCAAATATGAATCCAAATCCTTTTTGAATGACGTCGGTTGAATGTTAGCCACGTAATTGGTGAATATTCTGGGCGCAGTTGTGATTTCATTTAGCATATCAACCTTGAGGTTTGGTGTGAATGGATCGGGTAAGCGCATGTTACGTGGAAAAGCGGCCAATATAAGATTACGCATTTGAATGCAATTCGATGGGATCACATCACAGAAGCCAAAGTGGTAGTCACACAGGAACTCTGGAAAATCATGCAAGAGTACGAGCAACACGCGTAAAGTTCCTTTGTAAAGCAATTGAACGGGTTTGGCGAGCTCAGCATTGCGTAAAAATGGTGCCAAATATCTGAATAGATCCAGCAACAGTTGCGAGTACATGGCCCACCCTTTTTGTTGTGGTGTCAATGCCAAGATGCGGCCAATGAACACACGATGTGAAATCAATTCAAGCCACGAGTAGCAGAAAGCTGGAGCAATTGATGGTCTCAAAATGTGGTATGTATGACAGAATGCGGTCGATACACTCAAGCTGATCGAATCCAATTCGGGTGCGCTCAATTCCAGGAACAGCATGATGAACAAACGATGATAGCCAAGCTGTTGGAATGATGTTCCCTGGTTTTCTTGATCTTGCAATAAAACGCCAACGATTATGCCTAAAATCTTATTGAGCAAATTGATTTTGGTGGTTGCATTTGGATTATCGCCCGAATATTTCACAATCAAAGCGATCAGACGAACGAATGCGTCAATGTAGTGGAAAATTTTTGTCTTATTCTGTTGTGGTGATGTCGATGGATCATTCAAGTTTCGATACACCAAATCGATGCACCATTGTGTCGCTTGTCGGAAGAACCGTGTAATCAAATCATCCGTTTTCAGAACACCGCACAAATTCAATTTGTTCACGAACACGCTGAACGATTTCATTGCGTTAGCATCACGGCTACCGCCCGAATTCATATGATGTGTGGCCCAATCTTTTAGCAGGTATTCAACCTTCTCTGCCATGCCTGGATCGTTAAAGTCATGCGATCGCACCTGCAAAATACCGGAATGAATGTGTGACGTTGGTCCGGTATTGGCACGTTCAAATGACATTGAATTCGGATCATTTGCGATGCGCAACATTTCGATCAAATGTGGCAATCCTTCGGGTGCACGATGCAAAGCCGCCAATCGTGCCAACATTTCAATCGTATTGTAGAAATCATTTTCACAAATCAATGGATTTGGTCGGTCGTCAATGAAATAGTGTTGTACCAATTGCATGGCAAATGCAACGGCCAAGAAGTTATTACCACTGTCCATCAATTGGCTGAGCATGTAATCGTATTGTGAGATATTAGCAAAATTGGATGAAATCAGTAGTTCCACCGCTTCTAAATTATAACGAATATCTTCACGGCATTCAATCATGCATTTTGTGATTGCTCGTTGTGTGAACAATGGACCGTAGGCTCGGCTGTCTTGCATCCATTGCAACAGTCTAAAATGAGTGTCACGATAGTGTTTCAGCAATTCACCGTGTTCAGTGCTGTGCGTGACACCTTCCATAATATTTTCGACGGCACGAGTTAACAGGTTTAGAGCGCTGATATCGTCACGGGTCCGTCGTGCGGCCAACAAACAATCGAGCAGAGCATGCATATTTGTTACGTGCATTGACAGTGCTTGAATATTGATGGCATTATTCAAGAATGATTCCATTTTGCTGCCCAATTCCTCAAACTGGAAGGCAATATCGTTTGTATTGAACATTGCTGTTCCATGTGTTGCCGCTGCTGCAGCTTGAGTCAGATCAGCAGTAAATGGTGCCACTGGCATAACGCCTTCCTGCTATAGACAATAAGAGTACATCGATTGAAATAAATTAATTTTGTTTTATGAACGATTCAATGCGATGATATACATGTGCAATGTACATTTTCGTTTTTAATTCGCTTTATTAAAATTTAATCTATATTAATTCAACACTTACCGGAACTGTGGATTTTTGCAACAGCAGAGCAGCATCGCGCTCGGTCATTGGCTGGAATCCAGGAATATTTCGTGCAAATTCATCGTACACCGAGAATTGGGCACTTGAAATGCCACCAACTTTCAAACGGATTTGCTCCGGCATGCGGGCTGTTTGATATGATAAAACGGCTGCATCACAATGGCGTCTGGAATGAGAAGAACAAAAACAGAGTTTGCGTATTATTGTTTAAGAAAAATCGAATGACTATGAAGACATTGCTGTGCACGTATCATCGAAAACAATTCTTACCTTCCTTCTTGACGAGCCAACTTTCTGACTTCAAAGTCTGAAATCAATCGTTTTTCAATTTCCGGGATGGCCTTTTCAATAGCTGTCTTCTGGATGTAGGCACATGCCAATTCGGTATTGTCATTCGCAATTTGTGTGGCCAAATCGTTCAATTCGGGCGGAGGTGGTGTCATCGATGTTGCAAACAGAGACATAATATTCTTCTGAATAACATTGTTCAATTGATCGCGACACGTAATCATTGCCATGCCAGCGGTCAAATTGCGCACCATGTAATGAGCGGCTTTTCGCATTCGTGTTTCGTCTGGATCCAAGGCGAAATCTTTTCGCATAATTTGTTCACATGTGTTGACAGCAATGCGTACGCTACGATCAACGACCGGGGTCAACCATTCGGATATGGTTCGTTCGATGGCCGTTCGTACGATTTGTTTCAATTGTGGATGTGCATGCAAAATGGTGATGTTGGGCGAGTAAACAATATGCTGTGCCAAATTCGACATGCTGCCGATTGTAATGTCGGTGAAGCTGAACCGTGGCTCTGGTGGTCCAGTTGATTGCTCACCGGTCTGGCTTGGCGATGCTGATGACTGCATTTGTGCTGAGCTTGGTTCGTCGGCTGGTTGACCACCAACCATTTGCTGTGGCGTTGATGGTGGTTGTACTTCCTCTTTTTTCGGTTGTGACAATTGATATTCGATTGTGTTCAATCGTTCGGCATCCTTCAAATATACGGCCGGTTTCAAATCAGCGACGTCAATCGACAATGTTTTGCACAACACTTCAATTTCGAATTTCAAATTTAACTTGAGGTTTTGTTCTTGATGCAATTCAGCCAATACATTCATAATGCCCATCGTCCATGGATTGGGTGGTTTGAATACTTTACTCTTTGCACATGATTCAACGATTTTTGCCACAAATGGCACCACATACAGCAATTCCTGTTGTCCCTTGTGATAGGCTTCAACGAGGAGTGATTTTAATTCAAGATCAATGTGAAGAATCGGACGATTTCGACCCAATGTCATCATACCCAGCCAATGGCCAAGATTTTTCAGCAGACTACGATCGGAAAAGTTTTCAATACCTTTATCCGAACGCAACAGAACTCGAATGTTGCGGAACGTTTCTTTGGTTACTAAGCGAATGATGTCGGGATTTCTCAAAGCATCCAAAAAATTCGAATACAGCGCATGGAAATTCAGTTCGATCGATGCTCGTTTTAGCACCATATACTGTGACAACCATGGCCAATAGTCCCTTGTCATAATTTCCTTGAGCTCTTCGCACTTTGCCTGCATATTTATTTGACTCAAATTATTGAAAATGAATGCGGTCTTGTCTTGAATTGGATCCGGTGGCAATGTGATCTTCTCTTCGCGATCGGCCGTCGCCACAAGCAACGTGTTAATATTTGTAGCGTTGGCAATCGATTTAAGATTACGCGGTGCAATGGCGGCCGCATTTGCGATGGGCGTCGTTTTTGTTGTTGGCGTTGTGGCCAAATTTCCAGTCACCGAATTGCTGCGATACAATGCCGATGCATTCGAAGACCCCACTTGTCCCAATGACTGCAATGAATAATGAAAAATACAAATCTGTTTAGACAATTGGTATAAATTTCAAGTACAATCAAAGCTAACTATGGTTTTAAAATGAATTTCATTAATTTTCTAATTCAACAGAAGTAAAACATCAATTTAGAAATATTTAAACTTGCAAATGATGCGCGATTGTAGACATACCGCTTGACTTTGTGGTTTATTTGGTGGTTCAATGCCTTTGATGCCATATTTGACATATTCGATGAGATGTGCTGGGAATTCGTTGAAAGTTGGAATTGTTTTGAGGTATTCACAATAGTTTGGATACAAATACAATCGATTTTTGAATCGATCCAACGATGTGATACCGAAATAGTACATTTTTGATCCTTCTTGCTTTCGCAGTGCTTCCATGACATAGCGTAGTGCTAGCCCAAGCTGTTGCGCTGATGGCACCAAATTACGCTCAACTATTCCACCAAACAGCTGGGCTGTTATTTGTAGCTCTTTATCCGGATACTGGGGAAAGAATCGATATTCTTCGAATAAATTGCGCACCATACACTGTTGCACTTCACGTTCGCGTTCGTTTGACGATTCTTTGAACCGTTGCAGCATATCGAGCACTTCATCGATCGATAGCGTTGGATGCGGCGAATGATTGTAAATTCGTTGAAAATATCCATTGGCTTCGTCTTCCACTTCTTTCGATACTTTTTGTGTGATGTCTGAAAAGATGGGATTGTTCGATGTCACGTTCATTTTATCATTGGTTGGCGTGGCTGCGATTCGGCCCAAATTGTTAACGGGCGGCAGACCACTCAATGGCACAATCGGAAGCTGGAATGGACTATTTGATTGTCCCTGAAGTAGTCGCGATGGCGATGCTGGTGTCGACACCAAATTACTAATTAAGCTTGTGCCAAAATTGAATGCACCGTTTGCTGGACCGCTTAAATTCAAACTTGCTAAATTCGAGCTTAGGCCAGGTATTGAATCAACCGTTGGACCACTGAACATTGCTGCAATGGAGAAACAAAAAGGGAGAAAAAAAACCATAAGAGAATGCTCATGTAAATCAACGAATTTAATGATTTTTTTGCAGAATTTTAAACTTACATCCAGCTACAGATGAAATGAGATTGGACTCCAATCCACGACGCAAGACACCTGGCGGCGGCGCCTGCTGTTGCTGCTGCTGCTGCTGCTGTTGTTGTTGTTGTTGCTGCTGCCGTTGTTTGCTCAGCAGAATGCTACAGTTCGTTGACATCTGAACAATCGCATCGGACAAATCTTGCTGAACACTGCCAACGCACGCTTGCAAACAAGTGAGCATTGTTGCAATTGTTTCATGCGGCAGCTGAGCGGCTTTTGGTATTTGATCGTCAGGAATTTTGGCGCCGGTAATTTGCGGGCAACGCCGTTGCAAAAATGTGACAATTGACTGTACAAATCCTTCGCCATGTTCGCGTATTTTGTCCGTCAGCCATTTATCCAGTTTGAGGTATTCACGCCTTGATGCCAAGCAAGCCAAATCAATGACAAATTGATATGATCGAACATTCAACAAACTAGACAGCGCTTTTAAATCTTGAGCCACATCAAGGATGCGAGTCAGACGGGATTGATCATTATCACCGCGCAAATACCACTCGCTCATCGAATGCATGATGATGTGTCGCAGCGAGAGATTGTATTTCGTCGAATTCCATGCATGGTGCAAAATTGTACCGGAATTCGGATGATTACCCAGAAAGATGGGCATCAATGTTTGGAAAATCTCTTGCAGCCACTGCGTCATCATTGGCGGACTAATTTGCAATAAAGCCATGAATAAAACATCGGGACAGTGTTGCATCGGCACTTTAAAGTGCTCCAACACCTGAGCATAATAGCCTTTATCCGCAATATACATCAACACTTCGACTAAATGTAAGGATTTCCAGGCAGCGATCTCTTTGTTATCGGTTTCGGGCGGCGTTTTCAGTGATTCAATCGATACGCTGGTGTATATGTGATCGGCAAACGAATACACATCGGGATTTTTCAGGATCATTGAAATAAGCGATAGTTGACTTTCGGTGTTTGTCCATGATCGGTAGATGATGTCGGCGGGAAAATGTTGACCGGTACCACTTGATTGCATACCAAGCCGAATGATTGCCATTAGAAGCACCAATGCGGCACGGTCTTTGATCACAAACTCACCATGGTCCAAACCGTGGCAAACATCCTTCCAATTGGTTGTTGGTGCAACCTCTTTCAATGCCTGCACAAATACCTCCGGTTTCCATGTGGTATGCTCATTACTTGACGTCAACGTCGAATTCTGATTTTTATCTTTGGAGTCTTGTGTATTTTGCGCATTACCATTGTTCGACGACCAAAACGAACTCGGATTTGGTAGATTTATACTCAGATCGGATAACGTTTTGTGTGTTCGACACATTAACGAAATAATTTTTGCTATATCTTGTGCAGATAAATCACGGCCACCAATTTTTGTTAAATGATTTTTACACTCTTCCGTACTAGCTGTGAATGTGTAACCTGTTGTATCAAATCAAAATGGAGAGAGAAAAAAGGAAGGTTAGGTTTGATGACAAATATATTAAATGCTCATGAATCTCAAATAATGTTCATTTAAGGTTAAAATAAAAAAATATATAGGCCTAATGTACACATAATGTGTATTTACATACCAATATCCATAACTAGACTCGCCCACGATGTGTCCATAATAGCTGATGTTAAAATTCCCTGCGAATTCGCTGACATTTTGTCAGCGGAAATTTCCGTGTTTTCACTATAAACCAATGGCGCTAAAATCAATGGGCAGCGTTCACGTGGAAAATCTCGGCTGAATTGTGATACGAATTTCTTATGCGTTAACTCTGATATACCGTATTTTTTGTACTTATCATGCGACAATAGCGATAAAATTAGTTGCAATAATTCGGGTGATATATCATTAAGACTCCCTTCTTGATTTGAATGGGCGGTATCTGTATAAAGATTGTTTGGTTCGAGAGAAAAAAAAACGATGAAAAATTCTGTATCAAAGCACAAAATTTATGTCATAAAATTGTCACAATTTACCTAATTCCACATAAGATTGTATCAACGATGGTAAGCAAATTTTCAGCTGGTTTTCAGCTAAGCGCACAAATTCGGGAGCTTTAGAGTAGGTGAGCGCCAACGAAATCACCACCTCAAGAATTGGCGAGCAATTCAACGATTTAAATAATTGACTGAATAAATGCTGCGATGGCTTCAATGTCTGTATGAGAAACAATTGAAACAGAGAAATAAATTTGGGGTTAGTTTCTCTCACTTTGCACTTATTTACATGTATCGCATTTGTTTATCACAACAAAAACAGATACAACAACAACAACAACAAAAATTCGCCGTTCGGGGAAGATGCAAAGTGGCATCAGCTGCCCCGAAACCACTGTTACAAAACACAAACACACACACTTACTTTTTGTTGGGCAAAGCAATTATCGATGGCAAAACAAATGTTTGTAATTAACGATGATTTATTGAGTACGGCGTTCAGCTCCTGATTAAGTAATTTGGATTGTAATGACTGCTTGGCCGTTTGACTGGCGTCACTAAAATCAATGGATGAAAATAAACAACGCAGAAGATGACGATCTGCTTCTAATCCGAACGGTTTGACGAGCTAAATGTTTGTGCACCGACGAATATGTTTGTCCAGCATTTTTCCCAAAGACATAAATAGTAATTCGTTGTTAAACGAGAAAGAGAAACAAGAACGAAAATGGAAATTATTATTGATGCACTCGCTGAAACTGAAACATTTCACTTGAATTTATGTACAGCATAATTTTTTTTTAGAAAATAGTGGATCAAAGCTAGGTATATTTATGTTTTTTTTTATGGTGCTGTTGACTTCTTGCATGGCTACGTTACACGAGTGAGCAAACAAAAGGGGACACAAGCACACAACAGAAAATATGTATTTTTTCGCCTTCTTCTGAACAAACGATTTTTTTTTTGACCGATATTACAAACAACAAAATTTTAATTCTGAAATTCCATTTACCAATGGGTTCGAATTAGCTTAATGCAATCGAAAAACACACATTTTTGGTCACGAATTCGCCATATTCATCGAACTTTATTTTAAGAAGCCGAAATTATACACACAAAAAAGATGAACGAGAGAGAGTACGCTTTTTTTTTCATTCGTTGTTCACACACAATGTTGAATTGTTAAACTAAACTGGGTAAAAGTTTTTTTATTTCAATCTCTCCGTACAAGAAGATGGTGGTTGTGTGCATAAAATACTAGAACAAAAAATGCAGTCCGAAATAAAAACTACTACGGATACAAATTTCAAAATGGCGTCTGGCAATAGCGACAGTGAGCAACCGAGATGCTAATATTGCCTCTTTTTCTTTCTCTTCTCTTCGCTACAGCGACGAGAACAATATTTCTTTGGTTGTTCGATGGGTTTGTTTCATGGATAGGCATAGCACTTGTGTTCGTATGTATTGGTAGTTGTACCGTGCGATCATATGTGCACGGGCAACTCATGGTGCGTATATGCTCTGCACTGACATGTTATAACTTGTGTCGTTGTTGCTGCCTGTAATGTGTGTCTGCTCACTTTTTCCTATGTTTTGTTTATGTATGTGTGTTCATATAGGTTAGGTTTGAATGTGAACATCGTAATAGATCATCGTATGGTGAAATATCCATTCAAACTCTGCTCAATCACATACACACGTTCGCGCGTCACGATTTTATACATTCCGATGGAATCGAATGTACAGAGAGAAAAAATAATACGAAACGAAACGCGTTCGTAAGATTATGATGTTATATATGCGTCGAAAATCCAAAAATATATAAACTACGTTGCCAATTAAAAACATTCAAATTGTTAAGCATTAAATTAATTTGGTTCGGTGAAACTCTATTTTGACACCCAATTCGTTTGCTCATATTCATCGTGATTTGGGTTCACCAAATTTCGATTCGATTTGCAAGAAGAAAATATTTCAATTTGGCCAAATCTAATTTGAAACCTATGTAGCTGAAACGTCAAACATTTGAAACATCTTCGTGAAACGAAGAGAAATAAAAGGAAATGGATGAAAAAAAGAAAAGTAGAAAAAAAATTTACCGCAACGATTTGTCGTGAATTTTGTTCAAAATTTTTCTTGTTCAAGTTAGAAACCAAGTGATTGATCTGCGTTAGGGTAAATGATAAGGCTTCCTGGTTCATAGTTTCATTTAAAACGGCATTGAGAGTCTTCAAACACGACTCGGTGTTGTTGAAGCTCTCATCTGCAACGATTTTTGATTCAATGACAAATTTATCACAATTCTGCACATTCGTTTTCACGACAATATTTCTTCACTCTTTCTCGCTCTCTACCTCGCGCTCATTCGCTGCTGCGATCGAACAAACAAACTTGAGTGCGATTGGTTTTCGTTTTTGTTTTTTTTTTTTGCTAAATTCGAAACTTTTTCACTAAACAACAATTTACAAACAATGCGATAAACCGAATGAAATACGACAAAAAAACGGCTGATTAAATAGGCAGTATGTCTTGTCGGTAGTGCTTTAAGTGTGCGCTACCGACACAGAGCGACAGTCAATTGAAACGGCTTTTCCACTTTTGCATACAACAAAAAGAGCAGCATCGAAATGTCTAGTACAATGATATATGATACCGAAATTGTGGCCACATTGGGCGAACAATTTTCACTTTTTATCGTCTCACTCTGTCAAATTCCGCGACTTTTGATTCTCAACACTCGTGTCCAGAATTTTTTCTAATAATTTTGTATATGTGTTCTATTTATCTTCGGTCAAATGTCTAAACTTATGCAAAATGAACAAAATGCTTGCAATTCTTCCAATTCTTTCACTGACTGAATATTTTTAAAGATTAAAGATAACAACAATAATAATAATGAAATGTGCGAATGATCGCCTTTCGTTCGACACGTCGTATCACTTTTGTTCGTCGTCGTCTTCTTCTTCTTCTTTTTCGTTTTTTTTTTTTATTTTTGATTCATTCTTATATTCGCCAAACACACACTAATATAAACTGTATTAACACTCATAGCTGACAGTGTCAATTGAAATACGCAAATTACTTCACTATGCGATTAGAAATGACTTACATTCGAATTGGGGTGCGTTCAATGACAAACATTGAATCAAAAATGAATACGGCTTATGCGACAATTCAAAAAGGAAAAAAAATGAAAACAAAGCACATTGGATAGACAAACTTCCGTGGATTTATTTATTTTTGTGGAATAATTTGTGGAATATAAGATGTATCAGCGGCTTGAATCCATTTATTTTTGTAGTACGACAAACGATGTGACTCATGAAATCCACATTTTTCTCTCATTTGTTTGCAGAGATCCAAATCCAATTCAGCATATAACATTCCGTCTCTATGGCGCGACAAACTCTGATCGATTTAGGTATTTGAAAGATTTGAAAAGTTTACAAAAATGAGATTTTTAATTGGGAAAAGAAGAATGGAAATGTTAAATGGAATTTTTCACCTTAGTACGACCCCCATCTGGTGCTGTGATGTACGTAGATCCAAAACATGGACCGAACACCTTCTTTGCACCTGATTCTAAAGTAAATTTTTCAGTTCCAACACGATTTATAGCCACTGTATAATAGCTATGATCAAAAGCAGCACTTCTCGCCTCAACAGGCCACCAATGCTCGTTGACAGCCTAGCAATGGAAATTGAAGTCTCGATAAGAATACTAAATAATAATCAAAATGAAGCAAATATGAAGGGGAAAAAAGAAAGAAAAGTTGAAGATTATTAGAATAAAAAAATTAAATACGGTTGTTGCTGGATTGAATACGATTTCAGCACCATTCATTGCCATTGCCATCCAATTTTGTGGATGATGTCGATCAAAGCATATTGTTACTCCAATTATACCGAATGTTGTATTGAAAACTTGTGGACCAGTTGTTCCATGTGTATAATATTCACATTCACCGTTCATTGGTATGTGATTTTTTCGTTGTTTGCCCAAAATCTTTCCACACTCTGAAATGACAACGGCTGTATTCCATAGAATGTCACCACAATTTGAATCACGCTCCAAGATCGGTGATATGATTACCATACGATACTGTTGAGCTAACTGATAGATTAAAAAATTATGATTTTTAAAAATATCGAATGGATTGAAATATTTCGTTTTACCCGTTTTAGAAACATGGTTGTCGGACCATTTTCACAATCTTCACCATATTCACACCACGGCATTTTTTGACGTGTGCAAAATCCAAAAGGCATATCTGAACATAATAAATTACATTATAAAAATGTTGAAGCATCAAACTATAAAATTTATCAAATTTATTACTCACTCCATGTCTCGGTTAAACAGACTATATTGACACCAAGTGCAGCACCCTTCTCTATTATTTTTCCGATTTTCTCGAATAATTTCATCTTTTGCTCTCTAATCGGCTCATTTGTGGGTAACACAATGGAATGTTGAATTGCAGCCACCTACAAAAGCTCGAAATTGATTAAAATAAGACCAAATCGAAAACTTGATTATGTCCATCGTCGAAAAAACGTCTGATTAACTTACTTTTATCATTCTAGCATTAAGTCTATTTCGAGAAAATCCTTCGAAACGGTATTTTTCAATATAATAATCCGGTAGATTCTCTGAACCCAAATGTCTACGGAATACATTCACGATGTATAAAAATAAATGAATCAAATTATATAATTTTTTCCTCATATCCACATCTTATCTCCAAATGATTATTTTGGTTAGCACACCTCGGATTTTTTTGATTGCCGTATAAAATTCGATTCACTTCTTGTAATTCATTTTCCGGCAAGAAACGTTTCAGGATATCATCAATCGAATCGTATTCCATCAACATAATTTGAAAAGATAACAAGTATGTGCGAAAAAAAGAATTTAAAAATGGATGCGTTCAATGGTGTCCAATTGGAATCTAGCTAAATCAAACTAACGATAAATAATTTGGATGAAACGAAATAATTGAAACAAAATCTATAAAGAAATAGAAAACAACACTTTAAATTCTGATTGCTCAGTAAATGTTGACTTTACACCAACATTTCGAACAACAAAAATTCTGCAGTTAATAAATGTGATGCGATAGCCTGATTCGATGATTACTGTCTAGTGACGTTTCGTGGTATGTGTGTGTGTGCTACTACTGTCAACGTTGTATACGTCAAAGTATTTATTGTTGTTCAATGTTCCAAACATAAGATGATCCAATCGGCCAAGTGAAACTATTTTGTGTATTCAAACGTTCAAATAGAAAATGGAGCTTCAAGAATTGGACTCAGAGGCGAAATTGGGCGCGATAAAAGATATAAAAAATATGTTTTCGCGACCCGGCCAATTGGAACGAGTGGATTTATATAAACAACGTGAGGGGCGTAAAAAGGCATCGCTTGAAGCCCAACTCAAAACAGCGATGCAAAATCAATTGGACGACGATGGAATGGGACAAAAACAACTTGAAAACTCAATGTCACACATTAATGTGATTGACGAAAAGTGAGTAGAGTCATTATACTTTAAACTAGACTGTAATTTAGGTAAAGAAAGTGGCTCTTGTAAATCTGTGGCCAAATATGACTACATTTTTGCTAATTTTCATATTATTTTCTATTCGGTGCAGCATCAAAGAAGTTCGTAAGCTGTTGAAAAATGTGCCGAAGATCTATGAAGCCCTCGAACATGTACGCAACGAAAACGTGAAGCATTCACAGTATGCAACGGTGATGGAGAATTTAAAGCACATATTTTCGGTTCAATCAAGTGTAGCGAAGACAATTCAGTGGATTGAAGAAGACAAGCTATTGAATGCACATCAATGTTTGACTGATTTGGAGAACTCACGTGATGATATTCTCTTTGAATTGCATAAATTGCCAAAACAATACGCACTCGATAAAATGACATTGAAAAGCAATTTTGCAAAAGTTGAAGCCGTTTCAGCTCAACTAGGTCAAAAGATTCGGTTGATACTCGATCGATGTTTGGCAACCGTTCGCAAAGAACCAACAATTATTGTCACTGCTATGAGAATAATCAAACGGGAGGAGACAGCCGATGCATTCGCCTTGCAAGTAAGTTACCGAATGTGCACTCTTCGAGAGAGAGAGAGAAAAGCGGAAATTATTCTACCATCCAGAACAACCGATAGTTTTCAAGTTTTTGAGAATATTTTTTTACAGTTGAGAATAATCTGTTCATTGGAGTAGAATCTTAATCATTTCCCATTTCGTTTACTACACAGCAAAAACAACAAACTGGATTTATTCCACCCGATCGGCCAAAGAATTGGCGTAAAATGGCAATGGATGCACTTTATGCCACCGTAACTGTTCGAATCGAAGGTTCGAAATTGGAAGAACGATCCGATAATAAATTGTGGCTTGTGCGAGACTTGGAAATTGCACGTCAGTTCATTTTGGATGATTTGCGTGTGGTGAAGCAATGCTGCGTACCATGTTTCCCGCCTGAATTCAACATCTTTTCCGAATATGTGAGAATGTATCATACAGCACTATCGACACATGTAAGTCTCATTATCAATTTGTTAATACCGTAAACACATTTATTGATTCATCATTATCATCATCGAGATTGTGTGTCATATTTATTGATTTGAATTTTAATTTTCGTTTTAAATGCCTAACAGTTGGAAGAAATCATCCAGAGCGGTTTAGAGGGCAATGAGTATGTATCAAATGAAAATCGTTTGTTTTATTTTTAATAATCATAAAATTAACATAATATATTTGAATTTCAATCCTCCATTAATCTTAGGTACGTTTCGCTGTTATCTTGGGTGATGAACGTTTATCCCGGGCCAGAGCTCATGTCACATCCAGACCTGCTGGTCGATTTATCCAATATGGATCCGCTGATAACACCTGAATCGCTCAAGGAACTGGAGAATGAATACTTGAAGGTGCGCTTATTTTGAATTGAATTCCAGATGATTTGCTGAATAATTCTTAAGTTTTTTTTTACAATCAACATAATAAATTCTATACGAATTTCTTTTGATATATAGATTATGGAAAAGAACTACGAAGATTGGATGGCAAAAACAATTGAAACGGAAAAGCAAGAATGGCTACTCGACACGCTTCCTGATCATGATGGTCAAGAGAAATACTACCACACCTCGGCGCCGGTCATCATCTTCCAAATGATTGATCAACACTTACAAGTGACGAACACAATCCATTCCGAATTCACATTTAGTGCCTTAGTGTTGAGCATTCAACAGGTCACAAAATACGGTCAAAACTACCGTCAATGCATCATTGAATTTAAGGACAAACACTTCAAAGATCGCAGTCAGGTTTGTGTCTGCCAATTGCTTTACTTCTTCACGATCCCTTTTTCTCACATCATTTCGTTCCCTCTGAATGTGGACAATGATTTCGGTACCGAAATCAATATAGACAGCGATAACCATCTTTTTTAAAACTTTGTCTTCCGATTTTCCTCCCAAATTAGATGCCATTTTTCACGCAACATCTTATAACGATCGTCAACAATTGTCAGCAAATCATGGAACTGGCACAACATATGAAACAGCTTTATTGGCCCAAATCAAGAACGGATCATTACGAAGAGTTTGAACGATTATTGAAAACATTTCAAGTAAGACAAACCGATTGACTTTGCCATTCTCAGAATAACAATTTTTTTTTTCAATTCTAAATAGAATCTCCGAGATGAGGTGGGTGTGTTTCTGTTGGATGAAGCATTTTTGGATCTTGAAGTACATTTCAGCGAATTATTTACACCTAAATGGCTTGCGTCATCGATTTCAGTGGATACGATTTGTGTGACGCTCGAAGATTACTTTCACGATTATAATCATTTGCGCGAAAATAATTTCGAATATGTAATTAACGAGGCTCAAAAAATGGTCACAAAACGCTACATTAAGGCAATGTTATCGAAACGATTGAGTAAACCACGTCAAGATTGTGACACCATCACGAAGAAAATCAACAAGGAAGCCAAACAAATTAAAACATTTTTCGGTAAAATCGCACCAAATATGACTGATGCTGACTCACCGATTGATCTTATCACAGTCATGGGAAATCTTATCAGCTGCGATATGGAAATGCTGGTGCTCGATTTACACACTTTGTTTGGAAACTATCCCAGTCTGACGGAAGATCATTTAGTGCGACTGTTCCATATTCGAAATGACATTAAATCAAATGAAGTTAAAACGAAAATTCAAGACGCAATCAAATCGAAAAAGTCCAAAGTTAGCGTTGATAAGCAAGATGTTGTCTTCAAAGAAATCGTTTTCTCTGATAAATTATGGTAAACGCGTTGATTAAATCAATTCTAACTCTTTGATTATTATTCAATAAAAGAAATATTAATGTGCATTATGTGCAAGCTGTTTTGTTTTATTTTTTTTTTTCTATGTTGCATTATTTAAATGGCAGCCGATATTGCGAAGTTTCTGGTATATCAGATTTCACATTTTGATACTTTATTTTTGATGCTTTTGGATTTTTTTTTCACAGTCAAAGATCTGAATCCATTGATTCAGCCCTGCGACAGACTAATTTTGAAAATAATATAACTTAAGTAGTCTCGAATACAGTTTATAACAATGGCATAAAAGAGTAAAAATCTAAAATAAAAACTTCCATTCGTATCGAAATCATATTGACGCGGTTGATAATTGAAATACAGTAGCAAACCACAACTGGTGGTAAAGCGATTTGCATCGAATATCGAATGGAAAATCACATCGTGCCAGTTTCCTTTATTCAATCTTCAGCATGAATTTTTCATACTGATTACTCTGACCGCATAATTTCAGTTAAAAGAATTAAAAAAAAAAAAAGACGAATTACCATGACTAAGCCACTTCAATTTACCGTTGTGTAAGTAAAATCTTTCACTCATTAATCATGAATAATTCAAAATGGATTTTTGATACAGCTTCAGATTTGGTTGAATTGAATTTAAACGTGTGGGCATTTATAACAATTTTTTTTTTATTAAGAAACAGTCTCTATATACAATATATGCTTAAAAGAATTTGAAACTTTTTGCATAACATTTACATTAAATAGTTACAACAACCTAAAATGAGTTAATCGAGCTAATTTGTTGTTGGCCAATTAAACAGATGTGTGTATATGTGTTCCATACGCCGGAACCCAAAATGATTGGTAACTTAAAAGTGAAGGGAAATTCTAGGGTGACAGATGTGTGAAAGTAGTATGAGAGAGAGAGAGAGAGAGAGAGAGAGAGAGAGAGAGAGAGAAAAGAAATGTTAAGAAGAAGATGAAGGTTTTTTCAAACTATTGAATCATCCTTTGAAAATAGTATGGAGAAGAGTGTGGGTGTTTTTCCCGTTAGGTTTGTATGCTTTCCTTTACTTTGTATTACCCGTGGTTATCATTTTTCGTTTGCGTGAGTATGTGTGAGTTCATGCATGATACGTGTTGCTACTTTCGATGAAATTTGTTATGTTCCTAATGCATTTAATTGATGTAAATGCAAAAAACCATAGTGTCAATGAAAGCAATTTGTGAATCAAGTTATGGACTTTACATAGAGTTTATGAGCATGATGCATGCTTACGTCCCGGTGCCATTCACCCTGATTCAATTGAAATGTATAAATAAAGATTGGAAAAGGTCAAGTACAGACGTTTAGTAAGATAAAAAGATAGATCGAAAGAAAAAGGATAAAAGAACTAGATAGAGCGAATGGATCAATCACGCCTAGATGAATATAAATTGTAATGGCAATGTTTTGCATCCTTTGAATGCTATCAAAAAAATAATTACTTCGATTTCTTAAATAGCAATTTAAAAAGAAAACCTAGCAATTTGTTTTTGCATCATTGGAGTGCTTAATGTGAGAGTCCATGTGATGGTCGTGGGTAGTTGTATCCACTGTCATCATTATGAGGAGCTTCACCGCCAATCAAACCTGCAAAATTTGTACGTGAAAAATTGTAATGTTGGTCTTTTTGATCGTGCACAATATTTCATGGCTTAATAAACAATTACCAGATGGAGGTGCTTGATAACTATCATGGCCTTCGTAGCTGTCGTGACCGGTTGCTGTGGCAAGATTTTGTGTGCCGACGCTGTTGTAACTGCCGTGACCAGATGCGTATGAAGCATCACCACCGAATGAATGGCTGCCTAGAAATCCACCGCTTGAAATGGGTTGACTGTAACCGCTTGATGGTGGGCCATAACTTTGAGATGGAGCTGGAGCAGGAGCTGAATAAGTTTGAACTGAGATGGTCTGTGTGGGTGCCGAATATGTTTGTGAATGAGCTGCGTAGCTTGATGGTGGACCATATGACTGGGAAGGAGCTGAATAGGTTTGAGCTGGAGCTGAATAGGTTTGAGCTGGAGCTGAATAGGTTTGAACTGGAGCTGAATAGGTTTGAGCTGGAGCTGAATAGGTTTGAGCTGGAGCTGCATAAGATTGTGAGTGAGAATCGGAAATGGCACCGATCAAGGCAGTCGCATCCAATCCTCCGCCACTTGAATAACCACCACTTGAATGACCACCACTTGAATAACCACCACTTGAATATCCTATTGAATTCAAACGAATAATTTTGCATTAGTACCATATTTTAGGAATAGTGAAATGCTCATGGCTACGCAACGGATTATGCCATATAATCCAAGATATTAAAATTTCTTTAAATTAAATAAAAATAACATACCTTGATCTGATTGGCCAACGGCACTCACGATCGAAGCAATATCTAAGCCGCCAGCATTACCGTATGCACCTGAATCGTGCTGAGAATCTGAGATTGCACCAACAATCGAAGCGGCATCAAATCCTGATGAATGAGATTGGCCATGTCCACTGTCGCTAAGAGCTCCAACAATCGAAGCGGCGTCAATCCCTGGTCCGCTTGAGTGAGAGTGTGAATGTCCACCGCCCGAGCTCAAAGCCGAAACAATTGTTCCAGCATCAATACCTGAAGAACCTCCATACGAGTTTCC